CTCAAGTCGTCCATCCATCTTTTTGGTGGTCTGCTTCGGTGTTTTTTGTCTTCTCTAGGTCTCCATTCTATGAGTCTTTTGGTCCACCTATTATCATTTAAACGTGCTATATGTCCAACCCATCTCCATTTGGCTTGTGCAATTTTTTCTATGGCATCTGTCACTTTAGTCCTCTCTCTCACTATCCTATTTGGTACCATATCTCTTCTAGTTATTCCCAACATTGCTCTTTCCATTTTTCTTTGGGTTACTCTCAATTTATTTGCAGAATGTTTGGTTAAAGTTATTGTTTCGGAACCATATGTTATTACTGGCAGTATGCATTGGTTGTAAACCTTTTTCTTCAAGCAACAAAGGATGTTAACGATGCAATATAACACCTAACTACGTCAATCCAGAAAGCAGTCTCGACTGTTTCAGAAAGTTCCTATACTGAAAAACAAGGCTCATACCCGGACTAAACAATATAACTTCCTGTTACTTTAAAGAAATATTTTTCAGCGTTCCCTAATTGTAAGTTGCCTACATTTGGCGCAACTCGACGACTAAATTATTATCATTTCAGATTTTAATATTTTTAATTTTTAAGTTTAATATTGAATTAATGCACAAATTTAAATTTTCAACTTTATTGCAGAGACCATGTTGAAAAATAGTTTTTTTATTGTTGATAAACAATGATGAACATTTTAAAACTATTTTTAATTCTAAACAAAAATAATTCTGTCAAAAATAAAATATTTTCCTCTCTAGTGAAAATCATATGTTTAACAGTTCATATACAACTAACAAAAGTTGATATCTGATGGTATATGGTATAAATAAGTATATATAACTGTTTGTATGGAAAAATAAAACTGCTTTTCTTATTTTCCTTATAATTTCATCATATTTTCTCACATATTAGACCTTACAAGGATTTCAAATATTTCAAAACTAAAATTGGCCAAATCGATTTAGTCGTTCTCGATTTATTATAAAAAAAGAGCTATAAAAACAGGATGATGAGCGTTGGCATCATCGAGAAAAAAGACAAAAGAGGGAATCTAATCCTTATGAAAAGGAGACTAAAAAAGTGGCCTCTGATGGCGGACATATCCGGAAATGCGAATGCGCCAAATTAAAATTTTCCGACACGTATTAACAGTAGCTACATAATATTTTTCAGAATGTGTCTTAGACGAGAAAGTTTTAATTAATTATTAACGATAATAGTCTAAAATGCGACACAATTGTTAAAAAACTTCAATATAAATAAGATTTCATGTGACATTAGGGACAAACATGGACGTATAAACATAGACATGGACGTATAAACATCTGTGTTTATACTTAATATTAATTAATTCAAACTTTCTCGTCTAAGACACATTCTGAAAAATATTATATAGCTACTGTTGATAAGTGTCGGAAAATTTAAATTTCGCGCATTCGCATTTCCGGATATGTCCGCCATCAGAGGCCACTTTTTTGGTCTCCTTTTCATAAGGATTAGATTCCCTCTTTTGTCTTATTGCTCGATGGGACAAACAATAACATAACCCAACTAAATTTGATGTCAAACAAGGAGAGAGACTCTCTTTCCTTGTTTAATGTGGCCTTTAAATATCGCACTTCCTGTCTAACAATATTTATGCCCCCACTACCTTTACATTCCCTCTTTTGTCTTTTTGCTCGATGGTTGACATACAAGTGACCTTTTATATGGGTGGTTTTTCGATAAACAGAGTGATGAACGTTTCTTTGGGTGGAGAAGATTCGAAACTCAAGAATGCTAGAACGTTTCAGCAAGACTACTGAGATTATAAAAAGCATCAAGAAGAGAAAGAACTACTTTGAACATGTAATAAGAGGTTCAAAAGGTAGATTGCTACAAGATAGTATCCAAGGAAAAATAGCAGACAAACACAGTCCAGGACTAAGAAAGACTTCATGGTTGAAGAACCTGCGGGATTAATATGATATTGATACAAGCTTGCTATTTAGGGTGACGGTGAATAAAATAAGGTAGCTACGATGGTAACCAACGCTGAAAGGACATGGTACATGAAGAAGAAGAGCGATGAAAATCTTGGGATTGGTTTTTTATGATGATGTTGAGAAACGCTAGGGATGAATCAGTTTCTACCTCCATCGTGAACTGGATACTAGGATGTATATCATTCAGATGGGTTTGAAGGCACCAAAACATCCCTGCCGTGAGTCTAAATGACGAATGTATCGTCAACATCGTAGCCAATATGTGGAATTAAGGATTGATTAAAAATTGCTTTCAAGAAATTTCTTTTAGAAAAGTCAACATTAACAGTAGAATAAAGGTTTTTTTACCTATAGAAATACTCCTTGTGCAAGTACAGGAGTGAGTCATAATGAGTATATTTTTAAAGTTAAACCAAAAGCATTCATTGAGTCTTAAACTTAAAAAGGGTAATTATTGCAGTTATCATAAATCATCAGATTTCAAACAAACTGAATGCTTTTTAGTAAAGAGAAAGTATTAGTAGGTAGACTAGGTCCTTATATAACAGATAAGTGGGAGGAGGGTAGTACAATAAAACGTGTAAGTCCAGTGACATATTTGGTTCAAGTAAATGATGGAGTTTTGTACAAACATGCAAACAGTATTAGGAAATTTTCAACTACTACAAACATAGAACGACCAAATACTTCACTGGCTACAAATCATGGGTTAAGACCTGCAGTAGTTTAGGAAAATTGTAATTCCGAAATTGTCGACTCTCCAAGTCACCAAATGACTTTTGTTAAAATTAAGGAAACTAGTCCTGATTCATAAGGGGGTCTACAGTTTGGAAGTCCTGTTAAAACAACAGATCATTCAATACCTTTAGAAACTATTAATCCAACAGGTATTGAATTGAGACGTAGTAATCGTGTATATACGTCAACTATATACAGAGGTTGGACTTTGGTAAACTTTTGATTATAGGTAAGGAGGGAAATGATGTGTATTTAATTATACGTTTCTGTGTTACTTGGCAACGCTGCGTTGCCCAAACAGCACAGTACGTTTTAAGTACGTACACTGCGGTACATACCAGTACGTACAGAAGAGTACGTACTATTACGTCTTAAGTATGTACCATGAGAAAGAAGAGTTATAATAAACCATATTTATTATGTTGGGTTATGTTAACCTAACCTAATTTATTTAGTTAGGAATTTTCCACCTCGAGTACAGTTTTGATGTGATAATTCATTGCAAGACAGTTTCATTTAGATTTTTTTTACTTATTTTTGGTGTTTGGTGCTAGTGTGGTTTCCTGTTATTTTATTCAGTCGAGTGTTTTCTGTGTGAAAAATGTAGTGATAAGAAGGTAGCGGAGCAAGAAATTGGACGATGATTGAGGGGAGTCGAGGATCGCTTAAAAACTTTCTTATTTTTAAAAGAATAAAAATTGAATTTATTTAAAAAAAATAAAAATATATTCTCCTATATTTACTTTTATTTACATAAATCATCATAAGTGTGTATAGTATGTACATAATATGTATATATAGTATGTACTAAGTACATACCTTCAATATGTACCAGGTACGTACCTTCAGTACATACTAGGTACGTACCATAAATTGGAAAATGTACGTTTTATGTACGTATTAAGTACGTACTTCGTACAGCAAAGCACGTACATTGTACATACTTTATGTCCCATCAGTACGTACTTAGTTTGTCTTATGTACGTACTTGTGCTTACTGGGTGGACTGTCAACGGCGACAGTTGACAAGTAATCAAAGAAATAGAAGCAACCTCTTTCTCATCTCTGTAATATATATTTGATACTAAAGTAATCTAAGTACAAAATAGTATACTATTTTATAAATCATGAATGTGTTGCTTGTGTGAGTCCATATCAAATAGGTAAAGAAATAATAATAAGACTTACTCACAATCAATTTAATTTAACAATCTGACGACCGGTTTCGCTTTCTACAATTTGCAAAGCATCCTCAGGTCCAGATACAAAGTTAAACTAATGCTGCAATAAAATAAACCCAATTAGGGTGGTGTCTAATAAAGATAAAATAAATAAATAAGTTAGTTCATACAAATTATAGTAATTATGCCAATATTACATGTCTGTGGTTTTCAAAATGAATAAATTTGAATATATAAAAGGTGTTAACAGACAAGGTAAGACCCACAATTGGTATAAAGTAGTAATATTATATTGTAATAAATTAATAAATGAGCAGATAAATAAAACAAAACAAACATTACTTACATGCCGGTACTCTATTAATTGATGGATGGTAGGTCGTGGTTGCAAAAATCATATATTGTTGATTGGAGAACTTTAATGTGCTATTGCAGTTGTTTTGACAATAAACGGGAAGTTCTTGAGGAGAACAGATTTGATCCAATGAATTAGAGATAGGTATATTGTGGTTGTTTGTCAGATGAAAGTGATGTTCTTTACTATTGTATTATTTAAATTATTTACACTTATATCAGAGATATATTTTTGGAATATGTGTTATTTATTGAGTATTTATTTGAGTACTATTTTATAAATAGTATAATATTTTATATTTAACAAATAATAATTTCATACCATCGCCAGCTTCTATCACTGCCTCTGGTTCGCTAGGAGTATACAACATGTTTCACTCAATGAATATATTGTTAAGTTTGAGCCCGTGATATAAATATATTTATATATATTAACAATATATTCATTGAGTGAAACATGTTGTATACTCCTAGCGAACCAGAGGCAGTGATAGAAGCTGGCGATGGTACGAAATTATTATTTGTTGGCCGAATATAGGATAAACACAAAGGGGAGATATAAGAAATGCCCACCCTATTTACACAAATAAATAATAAGAAAAAATAGTAGTGGAAACTTATTGTATTTACCAAGGTACACGAGAAAAAATTACCAAACAGTTGGTGTTGGTAATTCTAATTATCTAATTCGTAAAATACATTAACGATAACCAAAAACACAACATTTTAAAAAGAAATTTTACTATATAAATCACAAAAATTTTAAAACTAAAACTAGTGAAATAAAAACAAAACTATTTTGTACCATAAAATTTGATCTATTAATACACCCTAACGTCTCATTAACAATACCAGGTTTACACTGACACTCTCCATTATTACAATGTATTAGTTCTAAATGGGAGGAATCCCGAACACATTCCTCGCTGTGCGAGCACGGACCACCGAAAGTTGCCGTTCGCACACATTTTAAGTCAATGCTATGAAAACCACTATCGCATGTACAGTTATTACTGAGGCAAATGCTTCCTTGAAGGCTAGCTGAGCACTGATCATTTTCAAGGCAAACGTCATTGAATCTTGTAGCAGCTGCAACAAAAATAAAAAAGTTATACGAGTAATAAAACGTTAATATGGGAGACAAAAGGCAAATATAATAGTTGGCAATTATACAGGTACAGAATGCCAAATATACCGCAGAATGAAACAGGAATACGTTCTGTTACCCCTTATATATTCATTATTTTTTAATTTCTAGTCTGATCAATTTTTTAGAAAATCTCCAGAAAACCAAGATTGTTGGATAAGAGTAAACTAATAAATAATAATCTGTAAGATTTCAAGCATCTGCACTACATTGAACAGCATTACATGAAACGCGACTGGAAAGTAAGACCTAACCTCTCGAACCTGATTCACACAACGTTTACTCAAAAGCTCTGGGAGATCCTTAGATAATTCTACTTTCACTTGATCAAAAATTTTATCTAGGTAATTCACAAGGAAAGTAGAGCTTTTACATTTCTAGAAGACAAATTTCCACGTATTCTTAGAGAGCTCATGCAAGACTTTGAATTCGAAGAAAGTATGCAGGCAAGAGAGAAATACTTAGGCGATGAATAGGGACGACTGGCGAGAAATTCTTGAAAATATTCATTAATTCACATTTTTAAAGCAATATTACATAACTAGAAAAAGGCTAGGAAATGATCACTGCTATAAAAAGGTCCATTATTAGAGTAGATATAATAATACTCACCCTTTAGACATCTGGTCTGGTCACGTGACAAAACAAAACCAGTAGAGCATCGACAAACAGTTTTACATTGGGTATTTTCGGTTAGAGAGCACTGGTTGTCACTATCACACTGTTCTCCTATTTTTTTACCGTGTACACAGCTCATTCTGTCTGTTCCTGGTACTTCGTTATCAAATTTGCAAGTACATTTTCCATATACGCAGTTACCAAATTGGTTTGAGGCTAACCAACAATTGGGATCGCCTCTGCAAAAGTCTCCTAGTACTAAAACAAAGAATGACTTACTATCACCATTGACATCAAAGAGATATATAATATATATATATATTTTCTATTATTGTCAATTTTATACAGGTTAATATAAGTTAAGACTATTTTTAAAACTTAGTAAGAATTTAAAGTACAGTAGAAAGTTAATTTAGTATTAACTATACGTTTAGAAATCTATCACGAAAATGATTTAAAGTTTTATGATTTTCTTTATTAGTGTATCCAATATTAAATAATAATTTACATTAAGTACTGGTGATCATTACACTAAAATGCTGATTAAATGACATATTGTAATTCTACCAATTCAAACAAACCTTACATTAGGTATGGTTCAAAAGGTGCCAATATTACTTATGTTAGTTAAAGAAAATGGAAGGAGGGGATTTTTAATTTATTTAATAAATGTAAAAGTGAAATTAGTATTAATGTAAAGGTCTATTGTTCAGATGGCGTATTTCAAATAATCATTGATGCTAAAGTATCGTCACTTCTTCAAGACATGAAAGAAGATCTACTCAGACCTAGGTCATTTACAGAACATGCAATTATTTTCCTAAAATACGAAGAACTCTTCAATGTCAATTAAACATCTGAAGATACTTCAACTCAACATAGCTTCGGTAAGACTAAGAACACACTAACTAAGGGAGATGGTAATAAGGCAAAATCCAGACATCATCTGCATCTCGGACACAATCTACATGATGAACACTCAACTATCAAGGATCGCAAACTACGACGAATATGGCAGAAGAGATAATCCAAATAAAAGGGGAGTAGCCAGATACACCAAAAATAACATTGAATGGAACCAGGTGGTATTAAACAGAGAAAGGTTTGAAAACGTAGGTATCAAAATAGGTATAACTAAAATTTTTTGTGTTTACAGGAAAAAATGAAACCATCTAGCTCTAGAAGAAATAGATGCCATGATCAGAAAAGACGGAATGAATCTACTGAGATAATGTGAAGACAGAGACAAGATGGTATTTGCACCAGATGAACCAACAAGGATAAACCCTGATCCAATACACAACTCTGCGTTAGACGTATTTATCACCAAGATGCAAGATGACCAAGAATGCAGCTTCAACCACAAACCATTGACAGGAAGAATGACGTTAAGCATCGACCTCTCAACAGTTGAACCAGTAGAAAGATGGAAATGGAAGAAAGAAAACTGGCCAAACTACCGAAGGCCATCTCAATCAAATGGACATGAAGAGGACAAGAAATAAAAAAAAATCCAGCAAGTTATGGAAGACAACATCCCCAAAGGAATGCTGAAAAACAGAGGACTAATTATACTGGACGAGCTAAACGAAATCATCAAGGACAGAAACAGGGCCAGAAGAGCAAAGGACAAAAAGACAGGAGTTCAAGGATTACGGAGATAAACTATCCGAAGAACTAAGAAAAATACTTAGGAGTCTCAAAGAAAACAAGTAGTGGTACAACATCAGGTTAGCAGAAGAAAATCATGGATACGTATGGAAAATGCTAAAGCTCAAGCAAAGAGGAAAACAGAAAATGCCGCAAATAATAGATGTCAAGGGAACAGACTTCGATACCTCAGAGATACTACAGAGAAAAAGTAAATGAAATTTTAAGAAGAATGACAGCAACACACAGGCAAAACCAAAACCTGTCGGAAGCAAGAACCATCGAGGAGGTCAACACAGAATACGAGAGGATAAAAAGAAAAAAAAATTTTTTTGATGTGTTAGATGGTAAGTGTCGGAAGGCTAGATATTGAGGGAAAACAAGTAGAAAGAGTGAATGACTACAAATATCTGGGAACCTGGGTAAATGAAAACAATGACCAATGTAGAGAAATAAGGACACGCATTGAAATTGCAAGACAAGCATTTATAAAAATGAAAACGATATTTGTTAATCGAGACCTTCCTCTGCAGCCGAGGATAAGAGCCTTAAGATGCTTCGTGTTCTCGACTTTGTTGTCTAGAATTGAAAGCTGAACACTCAACATAAATAATATAAAGAAGTTGGAATCATTTGAGATGCCGTGTTATAGAAGGATTTTGAAAATTCCATGGACCAACGAGTTTCAAATGCAGAAGTGTTAAGAAGGCTATGAAGGAAAGGATTTCGAGGTCATAAAGCACATCAAAACAAGAAAGCTGGAATGTTTAGGCCACATTACGAGGGATGCAAAATATGATATATTAAGGCTCATAATGCAAGGTAAAATCAAGGGTAAAAGATTAATAGGAAGACGAAGAAGAATAGTTGCAGCTCAGTAGATCTTTTCAGAGCAGCCACCAATAAGATACGGATAGCTGTGATGATAGCCAACCTCCGATAGGAGAAGGAACTAGGAGAAGAAGGGCAAGTATAAGCTTAAGTTTAAGTTTGTTGGGTCGCCACCCTGGTCTTCCGGCTGCTATCTTGGAATAAGGGGGAAAGTGTTTTCACGCTGCATCTTGTAAACTAACAACCCAAAAAAATTATTTGACTTTATGTGTAGAAAATTAAATTGCCGACAACTTTATTTTTATTATTTTTAATAGTAAAATGAAAAAAAAAGTTTTAAACAAAAATAACTAAAAATTTTGTAACAAATTTTCTCTTCTGTGCCTTATAACTTTTTTTCTGATAATATGGCAATATAATAGAGGGTTTTTCATAACATAATTTTCACTACAAATCTGTTTCATTAATTCTTTGAATTTTACAGCGTTGCGAAGTTGGCCTGGTTTTTTAATTTACGCCATCATGGAATAAGGTGTGCGAAGGGTTTTCGAGCTGTATCTAGTAAACTAGTAAGAGAATTTGTTAAAAAATTTAATTTGCTACAAACACTGTTTGATATAATTTTCTGTAGGGTTGCTAGTTTACGAGATACAACGCCAAAACCCTTTGGCGCCCCTTTTTCCAAGATGGCAGCCCGAGGACAATGCTGGCAACTCCACAAACTTGAACCCCACAAACTGATAAAATTGAGTCCTCTTAAAAATGTAATCCTAACGCGTCTCATGTATGGTAAAGTAGCAAATCTGCGAAATTCACGAAATTGCACTAACGAGTTAGGATTACATATTACAACTGGAGTTACAGTCTGTTAAAGTATTTATATGTATCTTTAATATTTAACTCACAATTAACTGGTTTAAACTACAGTCTTTCAACTTTTGCAACAGTGAATTTACGAATAATTTGATTCGTAAGTTTACCGTTGGGACTTATTAAGTCCAATATTACGAATATTGCACATTCTCAAGTTTATTATAAAGAGAATTAATATTTTTAAATGATTGGACGGACTGTAAGAAATCTAAATAAAACCACGCCCATGTGTAAAACACCAACTCTCGGGGAAGTAGTCACTTTAGTAGTTTAGTTCGGTTTATTGAGATGTAATAACGCAAGCTTGGACTTGTTTATTGTGTATCAGATGGTATTAGCTATTAACTATTGTTTTGGTACTTTATTTTTTGCTATACTTTAGTATCTATACGTAGTTGTTGTAGTTTATTGTTTTAAAAGTTGTTAAAATTTAATTTAATGGGTATCAATTAAATCAGGGTTGTCCAACTGGCGGCCTGCGGGCCGCATCCGGTCCGCGAGGCTATTTGTTGTGACCCACGTAAGATTTTCGAAAAGCATATATTTTCTGAAATGCTGCCACTGTGAAAAAAGATTTTTTAATTTATTTTATATTTTATGATTTAACAGTGTTTTTACATTACAAGTACTGTACCGCGTGCCGCTTCGCGGACGTGTAACGAACACAATTGTCCTCCACCACTATGAGAACTGCACTGATTACTGTGTATCACAGTTCACGTAAGCTACACCTCCCACTGCTTACCATCCGTTGCCAGCCGCCATCGTGCCTGTGTGCTACTGACACGTAGGCTAGCCGGTGAATCTATTACGTTGCTAGTGAACAGTGAACTTGATTAATTCTTTGTCTTGATTCCTTTTATACAATAATGAGTGTAAAACCAGTAAAACGGAAAATTGATAGTGAGAACTGAATTTACAAAGAAAGTTGGGAGAGTGATTACTTAATTGCTAACAATAATGGAAAGTTACAGTGCTTAGTGTGCATGAATATCGTTTCAGTGCCTAAAGAATATAATGTGAGAAGACATTACACAACAGTGCATGAAAATAAGTATGCTACGTACACAAATTAAAGTCGGCGTGCCCTAGTTGCAGATTTGAAGAAAAAGCTTAAACAGCAAACTGGTATGTTCAGTAAAATATTACGCTCTCAAACGCATTATTTGCCTATCTTATGCCGTGTCGCTTGAGCTGGCAAAGGCAAAAAAACCTTTTTGCAAAAAAACTGATGGCAATTTGATAAAAAAATGTGCTGTTGAAATGGCAAAAGCTTTCGGTGATTCTAAAATGGCGGAGAAATTTGAATCAGTGCCACTTTCACATCAAACCATACAAAGAAGGATTGTTGCTATGGGTGAGCAAGTAGAAAAATATATGCTTAGCCTGGTTAAGAAAAGTTAATATTTCTCACTTTGTTTGGATGAAAGCACTGATCAAACCGATGTTAGTCAGCTGTTAATATTTGTGCGCACTACTTTTGATGATTTTACCAGTAAAGAGGAGTTATTCGATATTTGTCCTCTTTATGGAACAACAAAAGGAAAAGACATCTATGACGCTGTGAAGAAAACAGTTGACAGAATTGGAGGCTTTGATAAATGTTCAGCCATATCAACAGACGGGGCCCCATCAATGACAAGTAAAAAAAATGGATTAGTGGGTCTGCTTCGAGAGAATGGTGTCACTTGCCCAACAATTCATTGTATTATACATCAAGGAGCTTTATGTGGAAAGTCAGTCAAGGAAGATCAAGTTTTCCAAACCGTGATTAAGATTATAAATATGATTAGAGGTGGAAATCGATCTCTTTTACACAGGCAACTTGAGCAGTTTTTAGTGGAAACAGAGGCTAATTATGGAGACTTGCTAATGTACAACCATGTAAAGTGGCCGAGTGCAGG